ATTATGTACTTTTAATTATTATTATGTAGCTTTTAATTAGCGACTTCCTCCACGTGACTGGGATATGTTTACTTACCAGGACTTAAAGGACTTTTTCGCGGGTAGGCGGTTAAAAAAGTAACAGCTGAGTTTGTGTTGCTCTACAATTTTAATTATTTAAAAATAGTAAATCTTCACAATATATAGTATACACGGTGAATAGTTAGTATATACATACCCATGAAATAATATTTATAATTTAAATACCTGTCGAAGCCATTACTACTTTTCTATTTTATTGATTCACATATACAATGGCAACCATCTTGGAAGTACTCAAGGCACAAGCTGCTATAGAGAAGAACTTTAATGAGCGCATCAATGCCTTCGAGGCACTACTGAAAGCCTCGCCATCAGGAGAAATGAGTTTGAAGCAACTGTGTAGTGAGTTCCAGTATTTCCGTGATCAAACTCTCTCCACATTTACTCTGTTGCGGCAGCAGATAAATCATCTTGTGGTCGGTATGGATGCAATAGAAAGCCGTCATCGGAAGAATTTCTTACTGCTGGGGGGAATCACTGAGAGAGCTGATGAGGACGTTCGTGAGGTGACAGTCTCAGTTATTACAAAGCATTTAGGGGTCCAGGACTGTACATATGACATAGGTGGTAGAGCCACGCTGTAATACCATATGGTATTGCAGCATGAATGGGCCGGCTCGACCGGGGAAGTACCACACCCTCACAGAATACCGACACTAAGTGGCTGCACTTTTAGTGCGACCACATTCCGTATGGTGAGTGAGGGAGTCCGGAGGCCCATCCTATACCCATCCCCTTCCTTATCCTAAAATCCTCCCCCAACTCCGTCCCCCCATCTTTCAATACCATGGCAGTGGAATTTAAAAAAAATAACGTACCCCAGGGAGGTACCAGCAGCCATGTTGCTGGAGAATCCTCCCTCGAGCAACCACGCTCGGGCTGCCCTGCGTATTCTGGGGGGGGCAAAATTCCGCTCTATGGGACCAAGGGCAAACAGAGCAAGACTTCTGCGGCATCCCCTTTGCTCAATGTGAGCCTCTGTAATATTAGGGGAATTCATTCAAACCTGAACGCTGTCCACCACCACCTAGAAACGGCGCGGCCGGCATTGCTCTTCCTCACGGAGACACAGATATCCCCTCCTAACGAAACATCATACCTGACCTACCCGGGGTATAAGCTTGAACATTGTTTTGTTTCGCGTGCCGGTGTATGTGCGTATGTCAGAGAGGATATCTGCTGTCGACGCCTTGGGACTCTTGAAGGTACGGACCTGTCCATTCTATGGCTGCGCGTAGATTGCAATGACCATCCCCGCATCTATGCGTGCCTATACAGGTCCCACAGCGGTAACACTGAAACCGACCAACTAATTGAGCACGTCCAAATGGCTACAGATTCCCTGCTTGAGCAGATTCTTTCCGCTGAAGTCGTGATTGTTGGCGACTTTAATGCCCACCATGCCGAATGGCTTGGTTCGCGTACAACCGACTATGCGGGAAGATCTGTTCATGACTTTGCTTTGGCTTATGGTCTGACACAGCTTGTTTCCTCGCCTACGCGAATCCCTGATGTGTTGGACCATTCACCTTCACTGCTGGACCTTCTGCTGACCACCCACCCAGACAACTATGTGATCTCCGTCGAAGCCCCGCTTGGATCGTCGGATCACTGTTTGGTGCGGAGCAAAGTGCCTCTTACGAGTCCGACTCCACCTCGTTCTACGGGTAGACGTCGCATTTGGCACTACAGGTTGGCAGATTGGGATGAGATGCGGATTTTTTTCGCATCTTACCCATGGGGGCGGGTTTGCTTCACACTGGATGATCCCGACGCCATTGCCGATTCCATTGCTGATGTGGTGCTTCAGGGAATGGAATTATTTATTCCTAACTCTGTGGTGCCCGTCGGCGGGAAATCCCAGCCCTGGTATGGAGCCTCCTGTAGAACAGCATCTCGTCTGAAACAGGAGTGCTTCCTAACCTGGGCTAAAGGTGTGGCGTCGCGAGATCCTAACACCAGTGCTCTTAAAAAGAAGTATAACTCTGCCTCTAGGTCCTTCAAAAGAGTTATAGCCACAGCGAAGTCAGAGCATATTAGTAGAATTGGCAAGAGATTGGCTAGTTTGCCCTCTGGGACTCGAGCTTTCTGGTCTCTTGCCAAAGCTGCACAAGGGAATTTCTGTAAGTCATCTTTTCCACCTTTGCGCAGGGAGGATGACTCGTTGGCCCAGAACGCTAAAGAAAAGGCCGATCTTCTTGGATCCATCTTTGCGTCAAACTCGACATTGGATGACGGGGAGAAACCACCACCGACCATCACGTGTTGTAGGAGCTCTATGCCTGACATTAAATTCACGCATAGCTCAGTGCGTAGAGCACTTTTCTCCCTCGAAATCCATAAGTCGAGTGGGCCTGATGGTATTCCTCCAATTGTGCTTAGGACGTGCGCACCAGAGTTGGCTCCGGTTCTTACGCGTCTTTTTCGGCTTAGCTACTCATCGGGCATAGTCCCAAAGTTTTGGAAGACTGCTCTGGTGCATCCGATCCCTAAAAAGGGAGATCGCTCAGATCCAGCTAACTATAGGCCCATAGCTATCACTTCCTTATTCTCGAAGGTTATGGAATCCATCATTAACCGTCAACTGCTCCGGTACCTAGAAGAGCACCGGCTGATCTGTGATCGCCAGTACGGCTTTCGACAGGGACGTTCGGCCGGTGATCTTTTAGCTTACTTAACACACCGATGGGCAGTGGCAATCGAGAGTAAGGGAGAGGCCTTAGCAGTTAGTCTGGATATTGCGAAGGCCTTTGATCGGGTGTGGCATAGAGCGCTGCTTTCAAAGCTACCTTCATTTGGGTTGCCTGCGAGACTGTGCATTTGGGTCGCCAGTTTTCTCAAGGAACGTTGCATTAAGGTCGTAGTCGACGGAGCATGCTCTGATTTAAAACCTTTGAATGCTGGTGTCCCGCAAGGCTGTGTACTATCTCCGACTCTGTTTCTTCTGCATATCAATGATATGTTACAGATAAGTAATATTCATTGCTATGCGGACGACAGTACAGGAGATACATTATATACCGGTCATGCAAAGATCTCGCGGGCACATACCGATGAGTGCCGGAATAGACTTGTGTCTGAAATCGAAACTTCACTCCATCAAGTTTCGATCTGGGGTGAACAAAATCTTGTCCAATTTAACCCCAAAAAGACACAAGTCTGCGCGTTTACCGCAAAAAAGACGCCGTTTGTCGTATCTCCTCACTTTCAGGGCACTTCCCTTGATAAAAAGTCAAGTCTAGGAATTCTGGGCGTTGATATATCTTGCGACGTCCAGTTTTGCGGTCATCTAGAGGAGAAGGCTAAGATAGCTTCTAAAAAGTTAGGAGTGCTCAATAGGGTGAGACGATATTTCATGCCAGAACACCGCCTGAAATTATATAAAGCCCAAGTCAGGCCGCATATGGAATACTGTTCTCACCTGTGGGCAGGAGCGCCACAGTACCAACTCCTTCCGTTAGACCGCATTCAAAGTCGGGCGGCTCGAATTATCGATAGTCAACGCCTTACTGTCCGACTTGACCCATTGAAACTGCGCAGAGATGTTGCGTCTCTGTGCATCTTCTACCGAATTTATCATGGGGAGTGTTCTGAGGAATTGTTCGGATTGATACCTGCTGCTGATTTTCACCACCGTACAACCCGCCACAAACTAAAGTTTCATCCCAATCATCTGGACGAGTGGCGGTCTTCCACCGTGCGTTTTTCAAGGCACTTTCTTCCACGCACAACCATTCTTTGGAATCAACTTCCAGCAGCAGTATTTCCGAACCGATACGACAACATAACCTTCAAGAAAAGAGTATATTCCTTTTTAAAAGGCCGGCAGCACACCTACAATGCCGCTGGTGTTGTGGGTGATCATGGGCGGCGGTAGTCACTTACCATCAGGTGAGCCGCATGCTCGTTTGCCCCCTGTGTTGTAAAAAAAAAAAAAAATGACAAATTCGAAATGTGTCATCGTCTTGGTTCAGCTACTCCTGGACGACCTCGTCCGATCCTGATAAAATTTAGAGACCCGTCCCTTCGCCAGACTATATGGACAAAGAAAACTCTTTTTAAGGGCAGTCCTTATTTGGTATCTGAATATCTGACACGAATGCGGCAGTCATTGTTCCTCGAGGCACGAAAATATTTCGGAATTCGTAGGGTTTGGACGTTAGATGGAGTTATAAGTGTGAAGCTCCCAGACGGATCACGTGTCAAAATCTTCACAATTGAAGAGTTGGAAAACCTGACTGCCAAGTACAAAGCAGCCGATGCACCAACGACGCCAGTTTCTGAAGTTGTGGCCGCAGTCGGCCGATCTACCACCGCGGCTCCCAAGCAGCGGACCGCAAGAATAACCAAGAAATGACTTGCATATAATGTGTATGTGTCTCCACTTGTGTGTTTCAAGGTGAATTCGATAATCAAATTGTTAGATTTTTGTCAATTTTCGTATTTTTAGTAATAACATTTCATATCATAATGTAAAATTTACAATACCCACTTAGCACTTGTAAATCTTTTATCAAAATAATCGTAGCTATGGCTACGATGAGTTTCCACCTGTCTTAATTAAAAAATGTGCTGAAGAATTGACGCCTATTTTAACCTTACTTATTAACCAGTCATTTACAGAAGGTATAGTCCCAGACCCTCTGAAAATCTCCCTAATCAAACCAATTTATAAAAAAGGTGAAAAATTAGATATAAATAATTATCGTCCCATTTCTTTGTTACCAACGTTTTCAAAAATATTTGAAACTGCAATGTGTGACCGTCTATATTCATTTTGCGAAAAATACAATATCTTCAGCGAGCATCAGTATGGTTTTAGGAAAAATCGGTCAACTTCATTAGCAGTCTTCAAGTATATTAACGAAATAATTAATATCATAAACAACAAAGAATATGCCGTAGGCATTTTGCTCGATATGAGTAAGGCTTATGACTGCGTCCAATACAAAACGTTATTGAAAAAATTATACAACATAGGAGTAAGAGGTCCCGCTTATAAATGGTTTACCTCTTATCTCACAAATCGATCCCAATATGTACAAATAGACCATGTAAATAATCAAACTGGAAAAATAAAAACAGTAAGATCTCAACATTCAAAATTAATAAATTCAATACCTCAAGGAAGCGTCCTCGGATGTATATTATTTTTAATATTCATAAATGATTTGCCTGAAGTGATGGACAGCCCCTGCACATTGTTTGCAGATGACGTTTCTGTTGTTGTCTCCTGTAAAAATAACCTAAACCTACAAAGTACACTGGATGGTAGTATGTTAAAAATAGTGAGCTGGTTACACTCACATAATGTAAAAGTAAATTTTAATAAAACTAAATTAATGGTTTTCAGTCCATTCCAAAAGAACCCGCTGCAAATTAACTACTCTTTCAATAATATTAAAATAGATTGCGTAGAGAAATATTCACTATTAGGTGTAAATGTAGATTCGAATATTAATTGGAAAGCGCATGTGCAGAGTGTGGCTACCAAGCTGTCTAGATTCACTTATGCACTACACCAACTAAAGATATCTTCTGATACCAAGACAGCCATGTGCGCCTATTATGCATATGCCCACTCTTTGCTCCAGTACGGCATATTGATGTGGGGTAATAGTACAAACGTGATTGATCTTTTTAAATTGCAAAAACGATGTCTCAGAATAATTGCTAACATAGATAACAGGGAAACTTGCAAACCATACTTTATTAAATATAAAATTTTGACTTTACCGTCAATGTACATATTAGAAGCGTGTCATTTTGTTAAATGTAATATGCACCTATTTCCACAATATACCCGCCCTCAGGCATTGCGACCGCAATGTAGATTAGCAAGACCATTCTCGAAGCTACAGTTATTCCATTCTGGCCCTTTCGCAATGTCAATAAAAATTTACAATAAAATACCAATTAACTTAAAAGGTGAGGATGATTCTAAAAAGTTTAAAATAGCTCTAAAAAAATATTTAATCGCAAAGAGTTATTATGCGCTACAGGAATTTTTCAAGGAAAAAAGTTAGTTGTGTTTGTGCCTGTTTGTTTTAATTTAATGATGATTTTTTGTTTTTTTTTTTTTTTTTTTTTTTTTTTTATTTATTTATTTATTTATTTTTTTTTATTTTTTATACTAATCGACGATACATATATATAATGTAAAAATTTAATTATGTAGTTTATATAAGATTTATTAATGTGATTGCTGTGCCCTTTCAGGGTTCATGTTTGCTACTTTTAGTAAATTAAGACCAATTTTGTTACAACATGTAATAGCAATAAATAATTGAATGAATGAATGAATGAATAAAATACCCTCTTAAAATTAGCTTTTCGTTATCTGTTTACATTCATTTTGTAATTTGACGTCTGCCAGATTTAACAGCCAGCTAAACCACAGATATTGAACACTTTATTATCTATCTGTAAAAAGAAGTTACTTATATAAGTGCATTCCATTTTACATGTTTGTTTTTGTTGTTCAAATTGTTTTAATTTTTTATATGTTTCTGTTAATATTGTTACAGTGTGCCGGCAGGTAAATAAACCTTGCAGAAGCGTATTGTTAAATATTTATATATTAATTTTATTTACAATTCATATTAATTTATTTTATATATTTTATAATTTATTAATTACATATTTTAACTATTGAATAACTCAATGATAACGAACGAAGAGTCACTCCACTCAACATGTAATAATTCATCACTTTTATCTTCCAACTCGTCTATTTATAATGACAATAATATCAGATGTTTGCTGCAGAATAGATTAAAAGATTCTAAATTCTTTAACGTATGTCATATAAACTGTCAAAGTATTCCGGCGCATTATACTGACCTAATTGACGCGTTCTCTGAACCTAATATTCATGCCTTACTTAGTTCTGAATCATGGTTGAAACCTGCATTATCTTCTATAACATATTCTATTCCAGGTTATGTCTTGATCAGGAATGATCGTACGAGTAAGAGTGGAGGAGGAGTTGCAATTTACTTGCGTAGCACCTTACCTTATAAAGTTGTTTTGTCATCTCCTTCGGATTATAGAAGCACTGCAGAGTTTTTATTTATAGAAATTGATTTTAAGGGCACAAAAGTCGCTATAGGCGTAGTTTACTGCCCACCTTCAACAGATTACTTCGGAGATCTTGATACTGCTATAGATTTTATAAATAGCTCTTATAATCATATTATCATCATGGGTGACTTTAACACCAATCTACTAAAGGACACAACGTCAACACGCAAACTTAGATCTATTTTAGACTTTGCAGATATATCAATTTTACCATTAAAACCTACTCACTATAACCCTGATACTGACGACTCCTGGTTAGATATTATTTGCACTTCCTTAATCGACCATGTTATTGAATACGACCAATTCTCTGCACCTGCATTTTCACGTCACGACCTACTGCTTCTATCTTACAAAATCAAACCAATCAAACCTCTAAAACCCAAGCCGACAATCGCGCGCGTACGTAATTTTAACAGAATAGATGTCGACTTATTATGTCGAGACGCTGCACTTATTGACTGGAAGCCATTGTTAGACTCTTGCAACATTGACGATAAAATTGTTCTTTTTAATGCGCAGATTCTAAGCTTATTCGACAAACACGCACCAATCCGTACTGTAAAGTTGCGTCGACCTCCTGCACCGTGGATTACAGACGATGTTCGCAAGGCAATGACGAAGCGTGATCGGGCTTTTAAAAATTATAAAAAAGCAAGAAGTACAATCACCTTTCAACTTTTCAAACGAGCTAGAAATCGTTGCAATCAGGTGGTAAGAGCAGCGAAACGCCGTTATATTCATAAAAATGTTTTAAATTCTTCTTCGGCAAATGTATGGAAATTCCTGAACTCTCTGGGCTTTGGGAAAGCCCCAGCTATTTTCAATTCAAATATTTCCCCTAATAACCTTAATAAGTACTTTTCTTCTATACCTCCTCTTGATAATGCCGTTAAAGCCTCCACTTTACAGGAAATTAAATCCATGCCTTCATTTACCACGGATTCTTTTACTTTTTCTTTAGTAACTGATGACGATGTACGAAAAGCTGTTTTATCCATCAAATCAAATGCAACAGGATATGACGATGTGAGTAGAATGATGGTCCTTCTTTTATTAGATATTATTCTCCCAATTCTGATCCACATTGTCAATTCTTCTCTGTCTACTGGCTGTTTTCCAAAATTGTGGCTAAAAGCATTTGTTATTCCCCTTGCTAAAAACGCTAATCCTACTCTTTCTAGTCATTTTAGACCTATTTCCATATTGCCATTTCTCTCGAAAGTTCTCGAGAATATAATTCAAAAACAATTATTCACCTATATTTCAAAATGTAACTTTCTTAGCCCCTTCAATCTGGTTTCCGTCCCGGACACAGTACTACGACAGCTTTATTAAAAGTAACGGAAGACCTTCGTGATGGTATGGAGAACACACGCGTTACTATTTTAGTTTTAATTGACTTCTCCAACGCCTTTAACTGTGTCGACCATGACTTATTGTTAACGTTACTCTGCCGTCTTAATTTTTCTCCGTTAGTACTGAGCTGGTTCTCTTCGTATCTTCGCGGACGCCAACAAGCCATACGTTCTGGGCAGACTCTTTCTGACTGGTGTGAACTAGAAACTGGTGTTCCGCAAGGCGGTATTCTTTCCCCACTTTTATTTTCTTTGTTTATTAATTTGATTATTTCCCACCTTAGATGCTTTTACCACCTTTATGCAGACGATTTACAGCTTTATGCTCAAGCTGATCCACATAACATCTTTGAAGCTGTAGATAAACTAAATACCGATCTGGAAAATATTTCGCACTGGTCCTATCGTTTTGGCATTTCAGTTAATCCAATTAAATGCCAGGCAATTATTATTGGTAGCTCTAAACTTCTATCCAAATTAAACTTGTCTCACTTGATTCTGCGTTTTGAGAACAGCGTCATCCCATTCAGTGCCAAAGTCAAAGCCTGGGTCTGTTAATCGACCCATCACTGAAATGGCATTTCCAAATGGCTGAAATGTGTCGTAAAATTACAAGCATTTTACGTGCTCTTTATCGTTTTAAATTTTTTCTTCCTCCGTCCACTAAATTACTCCTTGTCCAATCCCTAATATTTCCGCATTTCGACTATGCCGACGTGTGTCTTACTAACCTCTCGCAAGAACAGTTGAACAAACTTGATCGTTTGCTTAACAACTGCATTCGCTTTATCTTCGGGCTGCGTAAGTATGACCACGTTTCTAATTTCCGCTCACAACTCAAATGGTTGACCATTCGTAACCGCAAAGACTTACGTATACTTTGCACACTGTTCTCTATCCTCAATGATCCTTCCTCTCCTACTTATTTGAAAGATAGATTTCAGTATCTCAAAGACTCCCATACCCTTAATCTTCGGTCATCTCATAATCTCCTCCTCATCACCCCGTCACATCATTCCGGATTTATGTCCAATTCTTTTACTGTCACCGCTATCAGCCTTTGGAATAAAATCCCTGTAGATCTACGCAGAGCATCAAGTAAAGATATTTTTAAAAGAAGACTTTTTAATTATTTGTTGAGTCAACAAAACCAGCGCTAGTTACAGGTCACTCAATAGTTATTATATCTCATAATGCTTATCGTTGTTTTAATTTATGTATATATATATATATATATATATATATATATATATATATATATATATATATATATATATATATATATATATATATATATATATATATATATATATGTATATATTTCATATGTATTAGTTTATATAAAAGTAATGTTTATGTATTATATGTGCATTTCTTATGTGTGTATTATATTTATATTGTGTATTGCCTTAATGTGTTACTATAATTGTCACATATTTTTCACCACATCTGCCCTTCATACGCTTTCTGTTTTTACCCAATGGTTAGCTGGTAGAGAATGCCATATGGCATTAAGCTCGCCATTTGTACAAAATTTTATTGTGCAATAAAGAATAAATAAATAAAGGGGTATACTCGTATCCTTATCCATCCCATATAATACGTGTATACTAAATTTCATAGTTAAGATGTTATAAAGTAACAAATAAAGAAACAAACTCATTTTCACGTGTACAATGTTAGGATTCATGTACTAAGAAAAATTTTCTCAAATTCACGATAAACGAATAATAAAGTGTTTACGAGAAAGATGATGAACCAAGAAATAAGCTGACGGTATTTTTATTACTTTAATATTTTTTACTTTGCAACTAGATTTATTTATTATTACAGGAACCTTATTTCTAGGGTATAGTAATTTTTGTAGATGACAATTAATATGTTTTCGTTTAATAAAGTTTCTACAAATAATTAAAAGGCCAGTTATTTTAAATACCTACTACTTAATATCACAGTATCTTAGCTTTCAGTAATATATAATTTACTTAATGTCTCAATGAAACATGAAGTGTTCGCTTTAATAATTATTTCGCTATAAAATCAACCGAAGATAATTAGTTCGGTTGCTATTTTAGTTACAATCCTGTTTACATCTCCTTTGATTGGCACTAATTATATATTAGTAAGTATAACTGATTTGCACGTTCTAGGGATCCACTAAAAATCTGGTCAAATAAAAAAAAATCTCTTTAGTAATAACGATTTGTTTTAATTCTTGAATATTTTTAAACAACTGACGTGCATTATGTTTATATGTGCATATGTTTTGTCTTATGGAAATTAATAATCATGTTTTAAGGATTCGTGCAATACAACGGACTACGTTTGTATAGGGAGAGGCAGACTTTGTACAAAAGTCGATTGCTTGGGTACCTCCGTCCCATTCGTTTTTCAACCGTGAAGCAGTTGTGTTTGCATGGCAGTGTTTCGGTTTGAAGGGTGGGATATGGCGTGAATTTACTGGGTACAGAGGAATAACACCTGAGTCCTCAGGAATGGCAACGCATGGGGGGTATCATGGGCGAAACAGTATACTCTGTTATGTCCATGATACCTCTCATGTCTATAGGCGACGGTTACCATTTTCCATCAAGTGGGCCGTCATCTTGTTTGCCATTCTAAGTAGTATAAAAAAAATATATTATAGACTTTGAAAAAATATGCCCAAATTAAAATACTGTCCCAAGCACACAGGGAAAATATTTTTTTTTTCTTAAGAGAAAAGAATTATTACTCATTTTAATATTACTATGATAAAACTAGTTCTAAAATATCCGAAAATTATAAGTATTAAAATACTGTCAGAATTTATAAAATATGAAATATATAAAATTATAATTAATGTATTACACTAAAATAGGATAAATAAGAAACAATAATCCGAGCGACGGTATTGGCGGTGGGCTTGCCCTTGCCATATTAAATTCTAATATACTCAGCAAAATATGATCATATCTAATGTTACTTTCATTACAGTAACATTTGACAAATGACCTCTAATTAATCCATTAGGGATTATAGTCATATGTATATTTTTTACTTTTTATCTTAATACTAATTAAGAGACGGAAATACTTTAATTTTCTTTATTATAAAACCATAACATTACCGTCAATCGGAAGGATATCAGAGTATAGGAGTGTTTAGATATATTAGACTCTCAATTGTCTCTTAATTTAAGTAATGCTAATGCCTATATTTTATTCCGACATCCCAATTCTATTGGGCAATATATGTGGTAGATTTTTGTAAGATTTTATAATTATAAACAGTTACATAAAAATTACATTTACTCATTCACTTGGTCAACACGTAAGTTTTATTACTGCATAATTTAAAAATGTGAATTTTTTGTTTATTAAAATGTGAATTATATTGCATTACATATTATAAATAGTATAGGAGTTAAATGATAAGAAATGCCATGTAGTCCCGGAATGGAATAGGCCACACCTTTCTTTCCCGTGGGTGTAGTAAGAGACGACTAAGGAAGGAACTAAAGAAAGAGCGAAAGATCGGCAATAGCGTCCCTCTTAACACATTTTCAAAACATAATTGTGGTTGCCAACCACTATTAAGTATTTACAAATTTATGTAATTATATTAATTATAAAATCAATATATATTCAAATTTTACCTGATATTTTGAGAATTCAATACGAATTTTATAAATACTAAATTATTTATACGGATAAATAAAATTTGCATATTGACTATTATAATGTTAATTTACATGAAATTTTATTAATACAAATTAATTCTTAATATTTCTAACACAAAATTTATTGGTATCTAATAAAAATATTATAATCTGCAATTATTTTATTTATTTTACACTTTATTGTACTATTAATATTATTTAATTAATTTATGTTATTTCTGTTTAGCATTTTATTCTCAAGGAATTGTAAAAGTTTTTAGAATGTATCCTACATTCTTTCGTATTTTCTCTCCATTAGTTTGTATATTACAATTTGCTGAAGTATCTGCCTACAATTTTATATTTCTTATGATTGCACCTGAGTACAGTCAGATATAATGTTTCGAAATTAGTTGCGTGTGAAACAAACATTTTGAGAATGAAATCTGAGGAAGTGTATACATACCAGTTTTTGAAGTGGTAATTTTTTTATATAGGTGCTACCAGTAAAAAAGCTGTCAACCCATAATAATGGAAAGTGGCCAGGTCGTTGCATGACATGAACATGATCATGGATACTGTATAATTTTTTTGCGTGCTTCATTTCTCGTTGACAACATAATTGTATCTTTTCGTATTAACAATCAGTGTGAACATGGATTTATATTCTGTAGGTAGTCACAGATATTCATCTTATTTATTATTCAATGGACGGAATACAGTATTAGCTTCGTTCTTCTTTTCATGTCGTTTGAGAAAACGACACATTTTTCACATTAGTTACGGACTGTCGGCTAATACCGTAAGATTTATAGACGTACCTAAGAGATTAAACCTCCAGTAGCCGCGGGCAAAGACGTCCACATAACACAACCTTCTGCATAAACATTTCAACTGTATAAAGAAGGCAAGTCACACCCTAATGACGGTTAATTGAAGTAAATGGAATAATAATTCTGCTCGTGTACTGACATTTACGGTAATTTTACTTCATAGTGTTACATAGTGTAAAATGTTTTCATTTGTCACCAGTAAATTTATTATTATTTAATTATGGTCTTGAAAAAAGATAAATATGGTATGTAAGGTAGCGATTACTGAGTACAAAAAAGAAACAAATAAATCGGCTCAGCTAAAGCAATGCCACTTCAGTAAAATTAAACCCCGCCTAGTAAGAATCACAAAAATTCATCGTCATCATGATCATGAAATCAGCCATTAAGTTTGTCAGTAGTTGCCACGTTTGGCAAACGGGCTGGCAACCGCATTTAGGCTTTGGAGATGTTTTAAGAGGACCGCTGCTGCCCATCTCTCGATCATTAAATTCCATTCGTCACTTTTTACGACACCTACGGGAAAGGAAGGGGCGGGCCATTCTATACGAGAACCACATTGCTAATTAGAATTGCAATCTCTAAATACATATGTTTGTAATTAAAAAATATATATTTACACATAATTATAAAAAAAAATATGCTTACGGTGGCGTATTAGAGTATAACATGCCAGTAGGCGAGCACACTGATTCATTACTTGGATTAGTTTTGTTAACTATTTTCCATCACCAGAGAGTTAGTTTTTTTCATAAACTATCTGGTGAATTGGAACAATCTTATATATAACTAGTCTTATATATAAAATTCTCGTGTCACGGTGTTTGTTACCAAACTCCTCCGAAACGGCTTTACCGATTTTTATGAAATTTTGTGTGCATATTGGGTAGGTCTGAGAATCGGCCAACATCTATTTTTCATACCCCTCAATGATAAGGGTGACCCTCCCCAAAAAATTTTTTTTTATATTTTTGACAAACTTTTCCATTTTTATTTTATTATGCTTTAGCATTGAAAAATACATACAACCTCAAATTTTCACCGTTTTACGATCAACTCCTGTTTTTTAATTGCGATTTTTATATGCTGCAATAGGGTTGCAAAATGACAATCGAATATAAT